CTGTCACACCCGTGCCTGTTGTTGAAAGTTTACAGGTAATGCATGACTACGTATTACATCGAACTGTTTTATAATAAAAGAGCATGGGCAATCTGTCATAGTTTTTGTAAGAAAGTAACCTTGAACCCTTTATGTTGTAGCTGAATGGAGGAGGAGATGTTGCCATGCTGGAACTCACAGGACAGAACTTCACGCCTAACCTAAGAGTCTGGTTTGGAGATGTAGAGGCAGACACAATGTACAGGTAAAACCACCACACCAGTTACAGTGCTGTACAGTTCAGCAAATAGAACAGCACCTGGCAGTAGTGAATCATGCACATTTTAAAATAAGAGTCCTGGTGAATATTGGGCTTGTTTATAAAAAAATAAATAAATTGGGGTTGTTCATAATTAAAAGTTGTGCATTATGCATATAATCTTTTTTCTTTTTCTTTTTTTTTTAGCAAGTCATTAACATTTTAAAATAACCGTCCTTGTGCATGTTGGTGCATTATGCATACAAACGTTTAAGGTTATTATTGGTATTTTGGTTGCACAATAAACTTTATCTGGCATTTAATTCAACAAACTCTTCATGCCCCGTCACATGAAGGAAAGACTAAGAATGTTATTTAACATACATTGTGCAAATACTAGTAAAATCGACACAATCTGTTTATTACCTTTCTTTAAAAATCATTGTGCATTGCAATTGATATCTATCTATCGATCTATCTATACAAAATAAAAAATAATACATGTCTAGAGTATTTTCAGTCTTCAGTATTTAAAGTCTTTATTGAATGTATACTGCAGAATTTGTAATGAAGTTAAAGAATCTAACATGCAGAATTTATTCTGAGATTGTATGGTTTTTATTAGATATAACTCTAGTTATAAAGGTCTTAAAGTCTTAACTTTGCAGATACCCTGTGATATATTAATCTCTATTTATGTTTTCCTGTGAGCATAATCGTTACAAATATATTGAGAATATTCATTACATGATTGTCAGCAATTCATAGTTCCACGTTCTGTTTCCTGCAGGTGTGGCGAAAGTGTGCTCTGCGTGGTTCCCGACATTTCTGCGTTCCGTGAGGGGTGGCGTTGGGTTCGGCAGCCAGTGCAGGTTCCTGTGACTTTGGTCCGTAATGATGGCATCATCTACTCCACAGCTTTGACTTTTACCTACACGCCAGAGCCGGGACCACGTCCTCACTGCAGCGCCGCGGGAGCCATACTGCGGGCCAACAGCAACTCCTCCACCTCACCATCTTCATCCTCCAGCCTACTGCTGCAGTCAGCCGTCGACAGCCAGGCAGGATACGCAGCAACAGGGAGCATATCTTCATCTTCCTCTTCCTCGGCTATGTCTGTCTCCTAACCTGGGAATCTCAGTGTGTGTTTGCATGTGTGAGTATGTGAGCCTTTGTGAGAGATGGTGATTCGTCCACTCGTAGACTCTTCTGCATAGATTCATGGGATACGGATCACAAAAATGGATAATGGTGCCACAGAGAGAGAAGAAAAGAGAGACAAGACTTCACACAAAGACTGGACAGAACAAATGAAGATGTCTCTTTTCTACTCTCTCTTTCTCTCTCTTTGTTGCGGTTCTTTTTCAGTCTGTTTCCTCACGTCGGGGGAAGTGGCTAAAGACGTGATGTGTGCCGTGGATCAAGATGCCACAGGATCAATGCATTAGCCTTACATAAAAACAATCAAAAAACAACAACGAAAAACACTTTTTTCAAAACCAAGCCTTTTCTAAGTTAGTGCAAGCTGGAAGTGGCTTTGAGTGATGTTGTTTTCTACTAAAGGGCTTAATGCACTGTTTCGCCAGGCTTGGAAGAAAAGTTATCATAGTAATATAGTTTTTACGGACCAAGGAATATTATTATTATTATTTTTATTGATATATAATTTTATAAGCTTTA